CAGTGTAAGAGGGTTCCCCTTTCTCCACAACCTCTCCAACATTTGTTGTTTCTTTCCCTGTCCATTTTTGCCATTCTAACTGGTGTAAGGTGGTATCTCAGCCAAGTTTTGATTTGGATTTCCCTGATGGCTAATGATGATGAACATTTTTTCATGTGTCTGTTAGCTATTTGTATGTAAGAAGAGGGGATTCTGAAGTTTTGAAGTCACAAAGGTGCTCAGGACAGAAGTATGGCTTATAGCAGCAAGAGCATTTGATCTTTCCACTGCCCTAATACTTCACACATAGAGGCAAAGGAACGTCTAAGAGTCAAGTATTCCATTTTCACTGTGGCACATTACCATAAATTACATTTTCCTGCAAAAACAATGCTATAAATGTTGATTATGTTTCCAGACAGGCCCATAAGTACTTATATGTACTTTTTAGCCAAAATTATATTGGTTATATTACAGGTTACACAAGTTTTTATAGTCTCATCTAAGACTTAAACTACCACTTACAACACTGTTTAGAACTAAGACTTCATTTTCCCAGGGCAACAATTTTTTAGAACATGAGCCATTTGTGAGTTTGGAAGATTGTCTGTTCAGAATCAAATATTTGGTTAATCTCATTAAATAATCTTAAAAGGGTTTAATCATAAGACAATTTACATATATTAACCAATTCTGCCCTCCTACCATCACCATTCTTTCCATTTCCCTAATTATAATTTGATAAAATTAGTACTTAAAAATTTTTTAAGATTTTATTTTAGAGAGAGAGCAAGTGAGCCTGCATGCGCACACAGGGGGGAGGGGCAGAGGGAGAGGGAGAGAGAGAATCTCAAGCAGACTCCATGCTGAGTGCGGAACCTGATGCAGGGCTGGATCTCACAACCTGAGCCCAAAATCAAGAGCTGGATGCTTAACTGACTAAGCCACCCAGGGGCCCCAAGGTCCCCCAGGACTTTTAAAAATGCTTATACCTTTTATAATTTGGTTTCATCTGTGAAGTTTTAAATATCTACTTATATTCCTTAAATTTCTGATTTAAAAATTAATCAAAAATATTTTCGGGTGCCTGGGTGGCTCAGTCGGTTAAGTGTCTGCCTTCGGCTCAGGTCATGATCCCAGGGTCCTGGAATTGAGTCCCATATCCAGCTCCCTCCTCAGTGGGGAGTCTGCTTCTCTCTCTCCCTCTACCCCTCCCCTTGCTCATGCTCTCTCTCTCTCAAATAAAATCTTTAAAATATATATTTTCTCACCTTAAATGCAAGATTTTTCTTTTTATTTTGTCTTGTGCAACCTCAAAATATGCTTTATGAATGAGGATTATCATGCATGTTTTTAGTTTTCTGTTTTTTAAAATATTTGACAAATACCATATGATATGATCCCACTTAAATGGGAAATATTTAAATTAAGGGAAATAATGTGAGTTGCCTAAAAAAAAAGTATGATAAGCAATTTCTCAAACTATACAAATACTACTTACAACACTCAACTTATTAATTTGAATCAGAAAATAGTCAATTACTGCCTTTCCTTTAGGATTTTTCACTTACAGAAATAAAAAAATTGGCTTTAGTATAGCCACCAATGTAAAGACAGTTAATTTATAACAAATCTCTTATTTGTTTCTAGAATTAAAAACTATAGTTCCTTCTGCTAACCCACATAAGTAAATCATAATGCAAATGTGTTTTAGAAACCCCTGGACTGAAGGCCTCCGCCATCACTCAAGCTTTCTGGGAAAAATGGGGGGAAAAAAAAAAAAAGCCTTAATTATTTTAACAACCAAAAAAACCACAAAGCAATGTGAAATGTCCAGAATAGGCAAATCCATACAGATAGAAAGTAGATTAACAGTTGCCTAGGGCAGGAGAGAGGCAGGAAGTAGAGAAGAAAGCAGGAATGGGGAGTGACTGCTAATGGGTACAGGGTTACTCTAAAATTGGATTGTAGTGATAGTTGCGCAACTGTGAATATACTAAAAGCCATTGAACTAATAAACACTTTAAATGGATCAATTTTATGGTATGTGAAATTTTTAATAAAGCTATAAAGGAAATCACATGAAAAAAATTGAATTGAAGAAAAATATTTTTAAATAAAATCTATGTTCTTCCTATGGGATGCTAGTTTATTAAATAAGTGACAAAACAAAAAATTAAAACAGAAAATGACATTCCTATTTTAATTTTTCAGTTTTTTAATAGTACACTCCCATTTAATAACAAGTAAAAGTTTGAAGAATTCTAGAAAAAAAGCGTTTTAGTTCAGAAACTAAAAAAATATTTCAATTAATTAAACAATTATCTTTTCACTTAATGAAAATAAAACTATTAGATACCAATATTTTAAATGACTATAAAATTTTTAATAAACGTCTAAAACTATTAATTCACAAAGAATCCCAACAGAAGAGAAGGGGGATATTAGTTAATTCACAAAGAATCCCAATAGAAGAGAAGGGGGATATTAGTGCATCAAATTTGGTCACCACAGAATGGCTTTAGATCATGATCAATAGTGGGTATTAAAGAGAGCATTCATGCATGATTTCAACATTTTAGCATTTTTACTGGCAAAATCTGCCACGAAGATCACCATCCAGTGTATCCTTCAATGTCTTTACTCAATGTCCTTTACTGGTCGAGGTAACAAATTTCTTTTGAATACAGAGAAAGAAGATACATTCTATCAATGATCTTTGTTTAGGGACCAATGAGCATTATGAAATTCATAACACTGGATCTCATATGACTAGAAACTCAGAAAAATTGGTCTTAATTTCATAAACTTTTCTTTTTCTTGATTTCTGATATATTATGCTCTTTACTGCTACGTTACCACGAACTTAGCCCTTATTTTATCTTGCTCTAAATGTCATTTTATTGATATTTTTAAGATGTACAATATTTAAATGTGTTTTTGAAACAGATGAAGTATAACAAATTTTGAAAATAGCATTTTCAAAAACAAAATAAACTCTTACCTGTTTGACATCCCGAACAAGATGAAATAGCATTGGATTAGTTGGACCTTGTTTCTTTAAGGAGAAAAAAATTAAAGCAAATTATTATTTTTCTTCAAAATAATGTAACAACTTCTTTTGTTACTTACAGGACTTTATGAAATTATATTGTTGCTCAAATTATATTGTTTTTCAGCTAAATAAGTTCTGTTCTCAAATTATATTGTTTTTCAGCTAATTGAGTTCTGTTCATAAAATGGAGCAAAGAAAAAGATAAACCATTTCATATCATCATATTTACCTTCAAAAAGATGTATAATTTAGGTTATGTTCTACTTATGCAAAAACGCAAATTTTAAATCATGCAAACTTTGAAAGCTTTACAATTCTATCTTTAATTTACACTTCTTTCATTGAATGGAGCTGTACACTTTTTTAATTTTTTAAAAAATTTATTTATTTGAGAGACAGCAAGAGAGAGAGCATGAACAGGACAGAGGAAAAGGGAGAAGCAGACCCTCCACTGAGCAGGGAGCCTGACGCGGGACTCAATCCCCAGACTTTGGGATCATGACCTGAGTTGAAAGCAGACGCTTAACTGACAGCTACCCAGGCGCCCCAGCTTTAAAATTCTACATAATATCTAGGGGTGCCTGGGTGGCTCAGTCATTAGGTGTCTGCCTTCGGCTCAGGTCATGATCCCAGGGTCCTGGGATCGAGCCCCGCATTGGGCTCCCTGCTCTGTGGGAAGCCTGCTTCTCCCTCTCCCACTCCCCCTGCTTGTATTCCCTCTCTTGCAGTCTCTCTGTCAAATAAAATGAGTTATTGATAAGCTTTGTTTAAAGTTAAAGGATTATATAACATGATAAAGTAGTGGTTCTCAAACTTTGTTATCAGGGTCCTATCAATAACTGATGCTGAAAAGTAAATATCATCTTAATAACTCTGAGTTACACAATTAATAAAATTACCTGCCTTGCTAATGGGATCAATTTTTATTTTTTATTACTTTTATAACTGCTTTACATTTCAGGGGTATACCTTATTACTTCAGCACAATGAATAATCCTTTTAATTTTTATACCTGTTTGCTAGAAAGAGTAGAATGCCAACAAAGTTCAATCTAACTGTGCTAGATACTATTAAAGAAAAAAAATGGGGGAAAATAAAGATATAATCCCTACTCAAAAGAAACTTACAATCCACAGGGAAGATATAATTGTCCTCAACTAACTATGCCAATGGGTTCGTGGAGGCAGTGGCACAGATTAGAACTATGTTCTAAATAATGAATAAAATTCCAGTAAGTGCAGAGTAGCTGAGAAAAACACACACCAGCAGTGTGTATACAAGAAATGCTTTTTTAAAAAGTTTATATTTTGGGGGACTAATAATAGGTAGAAACATAAATGAAACATCCAGTATGGGAAGGTAGGTGTGGGAATAAAAGGCCAAGTGACAGTTAGCTAGGGTAAAATCTCAAAAGCTGAAAAACTTTGGAAATCAAGCCAAGAGCTTGGGTATTATTCTATACACACTGGGGAGCTATCAAAGATTTTTTTAATTGGGGAAAGATACAGTAAAATATAGGGTTATAATAATTAGCTTAAAGAACTGATTTGAAGAAAGGACAAGGAGATTAGATTACTATAAGACTGCTATAAACACAAAGTACAAAGACATTAGGAATGAAAAGGAGGAGATAAACAGGCAGAAACTGATGAATGAACAGACAGCTTTGCAGAGAAGTCAAAGTTAGAAAGCTAGGATTTGGTAATAGTGTAACTCAAAATATAGTACAATTAAATTAATGTTGGTAACACGGAAAACCAGTAACAAGGGCAGTGTTTACTCTCTCCAATGCTAGACACATGAACTGAGAAAGGCTTTGTAAAGGAAACAGTTTTCAGGAGCTCTTTAGAAAAAAAACAAAAAATTGTATGTAAGCTAAAAAAGGGATACCACAAGGTCAAAATCACGAATGTAAAAAAAAAAAAAGGAGAAAAGAAAAAACAATGTGTAATTCATTCATTAAGAAAAGGCATCAAAAGAAGTTTGGTGTAACAAATGACCACCCAAGAGAAAAAAAAAAAAAGAAGAAAATACAATAACTCTGTAATTAAGAAGCTGATTCTATGGTTTTAAAAAGGGGTAGGGGGAAGGAATGGGAAACAGAGTTATTAACACTTTACCTCCTTCCTATGTGACTATGGTGACAGGGAAAATCTCAGAAACAAGGAAAGGGTTTCAGATTGTCACATAACCAACCCACCCTAACACTGGCTGTAATTCTTCCAAGTAATCAAGAAAATCATTAAAGGTTTTAGCAGTAGAACTGGACATGTTCAGGTACAATGACACTTCCCAAAGAAATAACCTTAGTCAACAAAGAATTTTAACATATACTTACTGTGTTATAAAGTTCTTCCAGTCTAGGAATGGTAAGGAATTTATGCATGCTTACTCCATTTTCAATAAGAAGTTTCACAAATGCAACTCTATCCATTACAAGAGCATCAAGCATAGCTTGTTCCAAGGACCCAACCTAAAAGAAAATAAAAATTAATCAATATATTTCACAGTCTAATTATACACATAGTTCTAAATGCAAGTCCTTATTTGTTCCTGAACAGTATTAGAACAAAATTAAAAAGATGCAAAATAGGGGCACCTGGGGGGCTCAGCCAGTTAAGTCTTCAACTCTTGATTTTGGCTCAGGTCATGATTTCAGGGTTGTGAGATCAAGCCCCGCATCCAGCTCCACGCTGCGTGCGGAGCCTGCTAAGATTCTCTCTCTCTCCCTCTTGCTCTGCCCCGCCCCCACCTCAAAAAAAAAAAAAAAAACCACCCACGCAAAATAGTAAAAGGATAAGACTCAAGGTATAAAGAGAATAGCAGAAAAGACTTCTACAGAGTAGCATTCCCCAAAGAACATTTCATAAGCAGTATTTCTGCAGGAGAGTAAGTGTTATATAGGGATAAAAAAAAAAAAGAATCCATCATTAAGTCAATTTAGGGGAAAAATATCTTAAGAGCAACAGTTCTCAATGTTTAGGAAAGGTTTTTTTGAGGGATCATTTCAATAACTGGGGGCCATTATTACCAACATTCAAAGGATACCAGAGATCATACAACATGCCAGACAATTTCACTCAAAAAGGAATTGTCCCATATCTCACACAACTTTGTTATCCTGTTACATGTTCATGAATAAAAATGCAATAGTTCTGCTTTACTTATAAACACAAAGTATTGTCACGGTTTGTTTTACAAAATGAACTTTCCAAAAATACAACCACCATATAAATTAGGTAAGATGGTACTTAGCTTTCTTGAGAACTTTAACGGAATTATTCACCATTAGAGAAAAATAACATCTCCAAACAGCAACACAATCTGTGCTGTTTGAGTTTAATGTAACACATGTGTATCAGTCAGCATTTATAAGCTGTCCCTTTTAAGTTTTTAGGGACTCTTTAGATAGATTTCAACAAACTCTGAATCAAATGCTATTAAAATTAGTGGAGACACAAATATAGAGATTTCATTAAGTACGGGTATTTTATTAATAGAACATTAATATATTTAATATTAATATATTTTATATGTATGATATTAAAATACTTTAATATCTCATATTATTGCTTCTGTATATATTTTTTTAAGATTTTATTTATTTGACAGAGAGAGAGAGAGAGCTGTAGGCAGAGGGAGAGTTCGGAGAAGCAGGCTCCCCGCGGAGCAGAGAGTCTGATGCAGGGCTTGATCCCAGGATCCCGGGATCATGACCTGAGCCGAAGGCAGATGCTTAACCACCTGAGCCACCCAAGCACCCCAACTTCTGTGTATTTTTAATATTTTGGTACCATATGATAAAATGAAACTTTGTGGTGAAAAATCAATACCAAAATGATTGTTTTTTTTTTTCTACCTCTCATTTTCCAATCTTACTCTGATTCTGTCTTCAGAAGTTTACTAGACAACTATACAACTTCTCTACAGTAGCTTTTATTAACATTTCTTTCTCCAATGTATCCGCTATTTTCATCACTCAGCAAAGGATTTGGTCACCAAGATCTTTTTCAGGATATAGACTAAATGCAAACCTTACACATGATGGGTTTTCAAGATGAAAGATCTTTTTTCTGCAGTATTTTTTTACCACTCAGTTCTATGTCATAACAAGAGAAATATTTTGACACTGCACTTAAAGATAAGGCCAAACTAATTAATAACACTGTAAAACTTATTTTCTCATACTAACAACTGGTCATTTATCATGGCATGTTATTCCTATTCTAGTTAAGATTCTTTCTTTCTCTTATGACATACAAATAATTCTGATGTTATTACTTATTCTAACATTAACTATCTGTACTCTTAATTCCTATTTGGTCGTCTTCATGGGTGTTTTTCTGCTCGCATGGAATGTAAGTCACCAACAACATTCGGTATTAGTGTGCACTCACAACTGCTGCATTTACACTGATTCTACATAAAATAAGTGTAAGCATCTAATTAGTTATGCTATCTATATGTTGCCATTCTTAAGCACCTCTGCACTGAAGTATCTATTTTTATTATAAATCACTTTCATTTGTCTTTATTACAATAGGGCATTATATTGTTTTTTTTAAATTTGTATAGAAATGCACTCAATGAAAGTCAATTTTCATATAATAAAAAGGTCATAATAAAACTGACAGGTTCTATCTGAATTGAACAAAAAGAAACATTCTATCTGAATTAGGTTTATAACCACAGCCTTAAAACAAAATAAAGCCTGACAAAATTTTCACATCTGAGAAAAAAAGGTTTGAAGAAAAAGTATCTGTTTTGTTCTGCATTTCTTCATACATTCAATGCATTCTGAACTCCTAACAAATGAAGAGGAAAAACAGTAAAACAATTATGCTGCAAACTCTAGCATGAAGGAAAGCACAAAATCAAATAGATAATATTGTGCAGAACAAATCCATGACATAAACCACATATACATAGAAGATAAAAGCTTTGTCCATGCCTTTACATCTGAGGAAATTAAAAACCCCAATGAAGTTATTCAACGGAATAAAAGGCTGGTTTACTGTTACAGTTTTACCACAGCTGATTAACATTAATTTTTTCCGCTGTAGTCCTACAAGAATGGAAGTGACTATTCTTTTTTATTATTTATAGGAAATACATTCCCATGGTTTAAAAAAATAATCAAATACCAAATTGGTATAAAATGAAACTTTGTCTCCTCTGGCCCTCATCTCTACAAACATATCCCATAATAACAGTTTCCAGAAAGGTTCTATGACTACACAGTGCCTGCAGATATGCCTGAATGTGTGTACATCCATAAACAGAATTTGCTACAATGAAGTTCATGCTATGCATACTTTTCTGCAATTTGCTGTTTACACTTTGTAGATAGAAAAGATCTAGCTCAGGGGCGCCTGGGTGGCTCAGTCGTTAAGCGTCTGCCTTCGGCTCAGGTCATGATCCCGGGGTCCTGGGATCGAGCCCCGCATCGGGCTCCCCGCTCGGCGGGAGGCCTGCTTCTCCCTCTCCCACTCCCCCTGCTTGTGTTCCCTCTCTCACTATCTCTCTCTCTATCAAAAAAATAAATAAAATCTTAAAAAAAAAAAAAAAAGATCTAGCTCATCCTCTGTAAAGACTGGATAAAATAATCCAAGGTGGGGATGAACATTTATTTTGCCAAGCTTCCCAGTGATTCAGACATATAACAAAAATTTGTCAAGTGTTTACTATGCCAGTCTGTGAATACAGCAGGTTAACAAAAAAATTCTTTTTTTTTTTTTAAATATTCTTGCTTCTGTAAAATTTACTTTCTAGGAGTAGAAAGAGAAACAAATGGCTAAGATATATGGTGATAAATGCTAAAGAAAAAAATGGCAAAGAACACAGAAAATGCTGTCACAGGGGACTGCTAATAAAGTAGGGTGGATGGGGTGCCTGGGTGGTGCAATCAGTTGAGCAACTGACTCTTGGTTTTGGCTCAGGTCCTGATCTCAGGGTTATGAGATCAAGCTCCAAGTCAGGGTCTGCACTCAGCGTGGAATCTGCTTGGGATTCTCTCTCTGCCCCTCCCCCAACCCACACACGCTCGTGCTCTCTCTCTCTGAAGTAAATAAACCTTAATAAAATAGGGTGGACAGTAAAAGTCTGAGGAGGACATGTTTGGTTAGAAACCAGAAAAAGAGGGGTGCCTGGCTGGCTCAGACAGAAGAGCATGTAATTCTTGATCTCGGGGTCGTGAGTTTGAGCCCCATATTGGGTACAGACATTACTTAAATAAATGTTTTTTTTAAAAAAGGAAACGAGAAAAAGAAAAATCAAGTCCAGGTAGGCATCTGGAGGAAACTGTTCCAGAGAGAAAAAAACAGCAAGTACAAAGATGAGGGGAGCATTCTTAGTATGTTTTAAGAAGACGCCAATATGGCTACATAAAAGAGTGCAAAGGGAATGGTGTTAACACATAAGGTAAGAGAGGTAGTTAATAGGGCAGAAGATGTGAAGCCCTATAGGCCATCATAAGGGCTCTGGATTATGCTCTGTGTAAATGTGATGTGATCCATCTTCTGTCTAAGAGGAAGAATGAGAATAAGGAAACCAAGGAGGATGCTACTAAAACAGTATAGAAGGCTGATAGCAGATTGGACCAGGATGACAAAAAATTGGGTATTTTGAAAGTAGATCTGAAAACATTTACAAAGGGAATTGGACTGGAATATATGAAAAAGAGAAAATAAAAAACGACACTAAGATTTCTTATCCCCAAACTGGGAAAAGGTTGTTGCCATTTAGTAAGATGGGAGATGGGAAAGACCGTGGAAGGAACTGTCTAAACATCTAAGATAACACTGTAATGAATTCTTTTTTTTTTTTGTAATGAATTCTCTTGTACATAGAAGACTATTTCTTTTTTTTTCTCTTCCTTCCTCCCTCCCTCCCGCCCTCCTTCCCTCCCTTTCTTCTCTTGTACATAGAGGACTATTTCTTTTTTCCCTTTTCATTCCTTCCTTCCTCCCCCCTTTCCCTTCTTTTTTCTTTTAACCTTTTGACCCCTTCACCCATTTTCCCCATTTCCCCACCCCAATCTGTTCTGTTATCTATGAGCTTGATTTTTCTATTTTAATTCCACATATAAAAGAGATCACATGGTATTTATATTTCACCTAGCATAATGATCTCAAGATCCATCTATGTTGTTGCAAATACCAAGATTTCACTCTTTCTTATGGCTGAATAATACTCCATTGTATATATACACAATTTCCTTATCCATTAATCCATCAAGCCAGAAAACAATGAACAAAATGGCAATAAGTACATAGCTATCAATAATTACTTTAAACATAAATGGACTAAATGTTCCAATCAAAATGCACAGCGTTTAAATGGATTAAAAAAAAAAAAAACACCAAGACTCATCACCTATATGATGCCTGCAAGAGACTCACTTTAGATGTAAAGTCACAGACTAAAAGTGAAGGGACAGGATAAGAGATTCCCTGCAAATGGAAACCAAAAGACAGATGGAATAGCGATACTTAATCTCAGACAAAACAGACTTTAAAACGAACACTGTAATAAGACAAAGAAGGCATTACATGATAATAAAGGAGTCAATCCAACCAACATTTGTAAATATTTATGCATTCAACCCAGGAGGACCTAAATATATAAAGCAAATAATAAAAGACACAAAGGGAGAAAGAGACAGCAATACAGTAATGGTAGGATACTTTAATACACCCCCCTTACATCGATAGATCATCCAGACAGAAAATCAATAAGAAAACATTGGCCTTAAATGGACTTAACAGATATTTACAGAACATCCCCATCCAAAAGCAAAAGAACACACATTCTGTCAAGTGAATATAGAATATTTTCCAGGCTAGATCATATGGTAGGCCATAAAACAAGTCTTAATAAAATTAGGAGGACTGGGCGCCTGGGTGGCTCAGTTGGTTAAGCGACTGCCTTCGGCTCAGGTCATGATCCTGGAGTCCCGGGATCGAGTCCCACATTGGGCTCCCTGCTGAGCAGGGAGTCTGCTTCTCCCTCTGACCCTCCCCCCTCTCATGTGCTCTCTCTCATTCTCTCTCTCAAATAAATAAATAAAATCTTTAAAAAAAAAAAAATTAGGAGGACTGAAATCATATCAATCATCTTTTTCAACCACAATGGTATGAAACTAGAAATGAGTTCTACGAAAAAGAACTGGAAAATTCACAAATATGTGAAAATTAAATAACATGCCACTGAACAACCAGTGAGTCAAAGAAGAAACAAACAAAAATACCTTGAAACAACTGAAAATGGAAATAAAAATACCAAAATTTGTAGAATGGAGCAAAAGCAGTTCTAAGAGGAAAGCTGACAGCAATAAATGCCTATCTCAAGAAATTTTAAAAGTCTCAAACACCTAACTTTACATCTCAAGGAATGAGAAAAAGAATAAACAAAATAATCCAAAATTGGTAAGAAGGAAATAAGAAAGATTAAAATAGAAATTAATGAAATAGAAACTAAAATAACATAAAGAAGATCAAATTAAGAGCTGGTTCCTTGAAAAGATAAACAAAAGGTTGAGAAACCTTTAGTTAGACTCACCAAAAAAAGGAGAGGACTCAAAATAAGAAATAAAACAGGAGATGTTACAACTAATACCACAGAAATACAAATGATTATGAGACTACTATGAACAATTATATACTACAAAATTGGGACAACCAGGCGCCTTGGGTGGCTCAGTCGGCTAAGTGTCTCACTTCGGCTCAGGTCATGATCATGGGGTCCTGGGTTTGAGCCCCATGTCGGGCTCCCTGCTCAGTGGGCAGTCTGCTTCTCCCTCTCCCTCAACCCCTGCCCACTGCTCGTGCTCTCTCTCTCTCATGTTCTCTCTCTCAAATAAATAAATAAAATCTTAAAAAAAAAAAAAAAAACGGGGCGCCTGGGTGGTTCAGTTGTTAAGCATCTGCCTTCGGCTCAGGTCATGATCCCGGGGTCCTGGGATGGAGCCCTGCATAGGGCTCCCTGCTCAGCAGGAAGCCTGCTTCTCCCCTTCCCAACCCCCTGCTTGTGTTCCCTCTCTCGCTGTGTCTCTCTCTGTCAAATAAAGAAAATCTTTAAATAAATAAACTAAAAAAAAAAAAAAAAAGCACAACCTATGGGCTCCCTACTCTGAGGGGAGCCTGCTTTTCCCTCTCCCTCTTCCGCTCCTCCTGCTTGTGCTCTCTCCTTCTCTCTCTAACAAATAAATGTTTTTAAAAAAATCTGGACAACCTAGAAGAAATGGCTAAATTCCTGGGAAAATACAACCTACCAAGACTGAATCATGATGAAATGGAAAATGTGAACAGACCAATCACTAGTAAGGAGATTGAATCAATAATCAAAAACCTATCAACAAACAGGAGAGCAGGACCAGGCTGCTCACTGGTGAATACTACCAAACATTCGAAGAATTAATACCAATCCTTCTTAATCTCTTCCAAAAAATAAAGGAGGAGGAAACTCTTCCAAACTTATTTTATGAGGCTAGCATTAACCTGATAGCAAATTCAGATAATGACCCAAGAAAATTACAGGTCAATATCCCTGATAAACAGATGTACGGGCGCCTGGGGGGCTCAGTCGGTTAAGCGGCTGCCTTCGGCTCAGGTCATGATCCCAGGGTCCTGGGATCAAGACCCACATTGGGCTCCCTGCTCAGCAGAGAGCCTGCTTCTCCCCCTCCCTCTGTCTCTGTGTGCCGCTCTGCCTACTTGTGCTCTCTGTCAAAATAAGTAAAGTCTTAAAAAAAAACAAACAAACAGATGTATAGGCACTATTTCTAAGACTTCTTTCAGTTCTAGGATTTTTAGCGATCTATACCCTATAGAAAGTAAGGTTTTATCATGAGGAAAACAGAACTTATTAAATCCTAAATGGATCTGGATGCTGTAGAAATGTTTAGCTAAACCAATTTTGCATTTTAGGCAGACATAAAATGTCAACTTAGATCACAATTCCAGCAAATACTTTGTTATTACACAGTCTAATTTAATTTCATAGTGTATATAGATTATTTACATACCAGCCACTGCTGTCCATAAACAAACACATGATTTTTGGCAATGTCAACTCTATCCCATGCCAATGTAAGGATGAGCTGGTCAAATGCAGATGCATTAGTGCCTAATTGAACAGAGAAAACAGTTGACAAGATCAATTAATTTATCTCTATTAAAATGTGAGCACTTATGAATTCTCCCCATTCCCTTTTAATTAACTTACATAGCTCATTTCAGTCACTGTTCAGAGGCAGCCTGCCTCAGAGAGATAAGGTTACCCCCCAGGGTTGAGGGCTTTTATTTTCCAACTACAGAAAACACACAGCCTCATTCATTGCAAACAATTCAGAATGCAGAACAATAAGAATAAAACAAAGATATCTGTTTCTATCACAGAGACAGTACCATGTTAAGATTATGAAAAACATCCTCTGTCTTCCACAAAGAACATGCACTTTTCTGCGCATATATAAATTCATACAAATACTTTTGTCTATGCAAAAGTATATGATACTATACAAAGTATTTAGTAACCTATTTTATGTACCTTAACATCACACCTTAGTTTTGTAGAACAGTACATAGAGATTACCTTATATACATATTAATACTTTTACAGGTGAACTAAAGTTGCCTCAAAAAACACTCTAGTGGCCATTCAGATTATTTTGAATTTTTTGGTGAGTATATTTTTATGCACATGCTTGATTATTTAAATAGGATGATTCTATAGAAGCCAAAATGCTGGGTAAAGAATATATACTTTAAAACTTTTGATATACTGCCAAAATAGGTTCCAGAAAGGTGATATCATCCATCAATGGTACAAAAATATCCAAGAGGGGAGTAAAATGCTTCTGTATTAAGATTTACTTTGTTTTAATTTTTTTTT